AATTGTATATTATATATATCATATACCTTAAAGCAGCTGCCCACAATTGTATCAAAAATATATTCACCTGCAAAACAAGATTTTAATGATTGCTATAAACTCAAGTGCAATTTATATGAATTGTGCGCACACTTGATCTCAAAACCTCCATCTGTAACCCCAAAATATACAATATATAGTATTTTAACTTGCATACGTGCAATGAGGTGTTTTGATAAAATGTACCTGCTAGAGATTACGTAAATATAAAATAATCTGCAGTTCAGTGTCAATTCTTATTACAAAATTAGGTTTATAAGGCATTAAAGACTCTGCACTAGAATGGATAAACAACTTTTTATCTGATAGATCTTACCAGACTAAAATTAATAATAATGTTTCTAGTCATAGGGATAGCGGATTGGGGTACCGCAGGGAAGCGTGTTGGGCCCGCTTTTATTTATTATTTACATAAATGATATGTATCAGGTTTTAAAAAACTCCTTTGTTAACTTATTTGCTGATGACACGCTTCTTTCAGTCTCTGTAAACGATTGCAAAGAAATAGCTACCAAACTGAACACCGTAATGCAGTATTTCTGCGAATGGCTGTGTCAAGATAAACTGAAATGAACTAGCTCCAAAATCAAGTGCATGGTATGGTATTCTGTGGATATACAGGGTAATAAAATTGAGCTTGATTCCGAAATTAAATATTTAGGGGTGATCTATGCAAAAAAATTGATAAGAAAATAGGGTTTTTTAACCGTGTATCGCGGTTTTTATCGCAGTGGACTAGGATATTAGTGTATAATAGTATAATTTTGCCTCATTTTTCATATGTTTGTTCATTGCTTATATCTTGTACAAAAGAAGATTTAAATAAGTTACCGTTACAACAAAATTGGGTTATGAGAATCATCCTGAACTGTGATTGATATACTCCTATAAAGACTATGTTAGACCAGCTAAATTGGCTAAGTGTCGGGCAGTTCATTAGAAGAGCAAGTTTAATGTTGGTTTATGGAATTGCGCACAATCACCAACCAGGCTGTCTAAAATTATGGTTGGAAAAAATGTCAAACTTTTATCAACATAATATACGTGCCAATCAGCACTTCAATGTTTCTATGGCGAAAACAACAAATTTACAGAAAACTCTATTCTGCGATGGTGTTTGTAATTTTAATGAACTGCCGGATAATATTAAGGGCGCGCCTTGCCCAAGAGTGTTCAAAAAGAGACTTACGGGGTATTTGCGAAGTTTATAGTTTTGTTTATGCAAATTTTACTTGCTTATGTAAATAGCCAAGTGCTAAATAAATAAATAAATAAATTCTGTTAAACGGGGAAGTAAAAATTAATTGAAATGATTCCACATTCGCTTATTAAAAATCTAAGCCATTCATAGACTTGGTTCCATTTTGCAGATGTGTTATCCATACCCGGAGGTGAAGTATCAAAAATTACTATCAATTAGATAAAGCAACCTTGGGTGAATGGTCAAGATTCCGTAAAAAAAATAAACAAGCTGATCTAAAATTTCAAAGAAAATACCAGACGAGATATTGTTGTCCGTATGGATGCTGCCACCTTGAAATATTGTATAGGTGTATTTTTTTAAGCATTCGGTTATTGACGAGTTATTTTAAAACCGCGTTAACGATAGAGATAAAAAACGGACGCCCCGTGTTATTTGTCGGGTGATTAATTTCAACTAATTCGTCTTTTTGAGAAACACGCAACATTTGGGCGGTAATTACACGTACCTATACAAAGTGCTTCTTACATCATCGGCTTAATTAAAGATGCGTCGGTTCATGGAATGTGGTAGATCATCGGTTAAGGACAAGCCCGAGATAATTATCCCCAAACTCTGGTCGATATTAAAATTCATTTTATACTATAGCCGCGAGGTATATTTTAAGGTTGAGCTTAGGAGACAATCCTTTCTTTAAATGCGATAATATTTCTCTTACAGGAAATTTCTGAAAATTGTTTAATTTTTATGATATTTTTAAAATAAAAGTTATATTTGACATTCACAGTTCCTAAAAGGACTGCTAGTTCAAACGGTTTTTTTTTTAATACGAAATTCTGAAAATTCCTCTTTGTTCCAAATTGTATGTGCCTAATGATTGTGATTAATGTTGCTTTTATTTAGTCCTTAGTCTAGAAAATACGACGATAAGATAGATAACTCTTATATCAGTGAAAATATTTAATTTTATAACGCTTTACTTTCCTTGATATGTGGATCCCAAGTCCTCATCCCAACCGTCCCTTGACTGATGCATTTCAGTGATGCAATCTTCGTTTGTTTAGCAGAGAAGTTTTCCTCGATGTATGAATGTATGAAATGCTCCATTCGATTACTCCGAAGCTATAAATAACTTTTTCAATTCCTTTTTTCAAATAATATTTGATTAAGCAAGCGGCGAGAATTTACTGGCATCCATGAGTATAAAATTTCAATCCCTCAGAAAATTTCGTGGGATGAGTTGCATAGATTTTTGAATGCCTTCAAAATTTGAAACCGATTGTTAAAGTGCATTCAGCTAGTCTGCACCGGTACCATAAAGCTTAAAGTGGTCCACAAATAATTATATATCATAATAATGATTATTATTATTCTGACGCCATGTAGTTTTTTAGCATTTAAACCGAATGCTGGGATGTCAAGGCAATAAGTTCAATATCGATTTGGAAACACGGTGGGCTGGACGCTTCTAGATATCTTAGCATTTTTTCGTAAATTAAAGCGTTTTCTGAGAATATAAATTTCTTCTCAGGTTCAGGGAAAAGATAACCCTGTTTTTTTGCAGCTTAGTTTTGGTTTGTTGAAGTATCTTGTAAGATTATTTTTGTCTTTCAAACCCACACTCTCCAGGCTTGCTTGTAGCGATGTACAAATCTTTCAATTGCTAAATGATTATTTTATGAAAAATGTTAAATGGCATTTCTGATGATTATGAAAAAAATAATCAAAGTGGCGTTTTTCAATTTGTTGTTTTCAAAAGTGAGTATTAAAGTGTAATTAAAGTATAAGCTATAGCATACTACAAACTTTAAAAGAACACCTCAGCGGGCAGACGACCAAGATTATTAAGGGCTCATTTCATTACTGCTGAAAAGTTATCTTCCCATTTCATGTTTCATTTTATACAATACAATATCCAAATAAACAATTATTAACATGCAAGAAACTCAATATTTTAAAATTTTATAATTTATATGTGTTTTTTACATTATTAATTTTCAACTTAGTATAATAATGTATAATTACATTAATTAATACAAAATAACATTTTCTCAAAAGAATATTAACAAAATATTATTCCCAAAACTGTTGTTGGAGACCATTTTCTCGAATGCCAAACTCTCACATTGTTCTTATTTTTTAAATGGCATTTAAAAGAATTGTTGATCTTCTTCCTTTCGAGTTTCGAAAGTTAAATCAATCAAATTAACTGCCGCTTAATGTTCTGTTACAGCCTCGTATCGTGTTATATATATATTTTATTTTCCAAATATCCCCATAAAAAAAACTAAAACTGAAAGATCCGGAGATCTTCCAGGTGCGTTGGTACCTATCCATTTTTGAGAGAAGTTGTCATCTAAAAATTGTCTTCAAAGTCCAGAGGACACCATTTTACTGAAGGTATATACTAAAAGAATCTCTTCTTGTAATTCTATAATGACTTCCCCAAGAATGTGTAGGTCCCGACGTGCTGTAAGACCTCCTTCATGAATTCGTTATGCTATTCGTTGTCTCGTAATAAAACACGACAGCCCTTTCAAAAATTAACTGCTTTTTTTTTGTAGACCAGTTGCTCATGTTATGGCGGTTAAAAATTCCCGAACTTGAGAAGTAACATTCGTTAGACCATATTAAAAGTCTCCCAAAAGAAAAATGTTGAACACTCCTAAACTTGTATCGATGGTATTTTTTTTTTATTCTTTGGCCAGTCGATCTTGGTACCCCCACTACTTGATCTATGTGTTTGCAAAATGTTGGCGGGTTGTTTTTATGTAACCTAATACATTTGTTTCTCTTTGCTCCCTATTCTGCTTTAAATAATTTTCGGGTCGTGATTGAATAAAGGATCCGTGCCTAACTAGATTTATTTTCAGCTGTTTGTTGTACCTCTGGATATCTAATATAAACAAAACACATTTCTATAATATAAAAACTGAACTGACTATACCCCTTGAAAAACCTTACCTGTAATATATTTTTCAGAATTTTCGTACATTGCCATTGTTATAGTAAATTAATTAAAATGAAATAATCACGGAAAGAAGGTAATAAAAATATGATTATAAACTGATAGTGTCGGAAGTTTTTGACACATTTGCTTTTTTGTTTTTAATAGATGAGTCATAGCCAACTAGGTCCTTGACATTATTATCACATAATATTTAATAAGGAATTATTATTAAAAAAAAAATCATAATATTTTTTCGAATTTAAGTAAAGAGTCTCTTGTATGGTATATTTAGTTGACTTCCGATGGGCTACTTATACAAATAAAATAAAAAATTAAAAAATGAATTTTGAGTTTAATTTTCAAAAAAAACCTTATCCTTATAGCTTAAATATATAGGGTGCTAGGGTAACTTAAATGTATGTGGTGTACCAGTTGAAAAATAGCATACTACGCCACTGGATTCTGCGGAAAAAATCCTAAATGAACGTTTTTTCAGCTCTTCAATATTTCATAAGACCACGGATATACGGGGTTCGTTCTAAAATGGATAGTTTTGGATTTCACCCTGTATCTCAAATAATCTGAATCTCGACAATGATAGTTTTGTTAGCGGCTTCATTAATTTCACAAAACAGTAGCATAAACCGCGGCTCTCTAATTTTAAAAATAACTGAGATACCCCATAAAAGTGTCCAGAATGGGATACCCTATACAGTTTTAGCAATTTTACCAATTTGAGTAAATAGCAAATTGGAGTTTTCTGTTGAAAAATGGACGCGCCTTCCGCCCTCTTGGAAACAAATAAGACGATAATATAAAAAGCGTTTTAATTTTCAGTCTCATAAGAATAAAAATTTACAATTTGGCATTGACGTGTATAGCCAAAACCGCATCGTCTTCGCCAGCTGATAACGACACTTGCGCCCTGCTGTTTCCGTCAACGCTGACAGATTTTCCGGTACACCTGCCGTTTTCCAAGCCACCGGATATGACGTCGCAGTAGGTACCGGCTGGTAAACCTGTCTGGATGCTCTCGTTGATGTCGCCGGAAATGGTAAAGGCGGCAAATCCTTTGTCTCCTCGGCTGAACGCGACCTGGTTGTCTCCGTTGTCCCACCAGTCGTTGAGTCCGGTTCCTGCCACGACGCTTCTAAATTCCACCATGTTGAAGATTTGGCGCCACCGGTGTTCACAGATCCAACCGTTGGTGCATGTACCATCGTCGGTGAATCCAGGCGAAACCAATTCACCGTTGTTGTTTGGCGGACCTAGAAATCCATTGGCATATGTATTTCTAGAAATTTCAGACCTAATGGAAGCCAGAAAGTGAGATTTTTTATATGGAAACCGAAGTTGATTTAAATTAATTCGGAAAAGTTGAGTATTACGGAACCTAGGTTCCATTTAATATAAGATATTACGAGCTTAGGTTTTTGCAACTTTCACTCAGTAAGAAAGAAGCTGGCTCTAGAAAATTGGCCGAAATCAATTTTTGAACAGTCCACACTGGTGACTAACCACCAAAAAATACTTTATTGAGACATAATGGCAAGCTAGAAATTTCGTTACTTTACTATTTATGGAGGTCTTTATTAAGAAAATATTTTTTGACACGGATGCTAAAATAAGTGTGAGGACATAAAATTACTACTTTAGGAGAAAAATTAAAAATATAAAAAACATAGCTGAAAAAAAATTAAGGAATTCTGCTGGTAAAATCACCCTATTTTATAAATTTTGTAGAGCGTATTTATTGAGCAACTTTTCTCAATGTATGCATGTTGAAGTACGAAAAATTCTTTACTAGTTGAAACGTAATTCCTAAAAGACGTTTTGTGTACTTAATTATGATGAAGAATTAGTTTTCTTCAATTTTTGTTGATCCCGTGAAGTTGAGCAACTTTTTGCTTATTAACAATGGAAAAACAGTGTGCTTGGAATATAGCTTTGGTTTAAAACAACCTAAAATTTTATCGAATTAATTGTGCGAAAAATATTATTATTATTATTTTTACTTGAAATTTTCAGTAACTTTTTATTTCCCCAGAGGTTTTTTTGCTGGTTTGGTTTATCAACCGTTTCACTCCAACCACAGCTCATTTTTTTCGAGAAAACTATAATACTAATCAATTCAATCCTACCATTGTCTAATACAAAGTGGCGGTTACAGAGAATTCGTATTTAATATTAATCAACAGAGAGATCAAAGCTCTTACCATCATCGCTGCTCTCGAAACCGAAACTAGACATGACCTGAGTTGTGGCGTCGTAAGAATGAGCTAACATGAAAGCCGTGGCTGCTTTGTAGAGCTTGCTGTCCTTATAATTCAAGATACCGAAGTCGCCGTTTCTCTGAGTGTCGTGGTTGTCGATCATGACCAGAGCGTTGGAGCCGTCGATAAGACCCCAACCGGTGCCCCAGTTTGAGAGGTAGTGCAGTGGGTTGTTCCCTTTGAACGCATTGCCCAATTGAGCACCATGTTTGAATTCGATGACGTCCCCGAAGCCTATATATTCGGTATTGTAGACAGGATCATTGCCCGTATCAATCACCTCTTGGTAGTAATAGGCCCTAGCACCGTCACCGAAGAACTCGGAGTTCAAGTTGTCGACGCTGTTGAAGATGGCCTCCAAGTCGGAAGGCCACATGTGTTTGGCGGCGTCGACCCTGAAACCGGCCACGCCCAAACCGATTAAGTGATTCATGTAGTCCCTGATCTTTCCTCTGACGTAATCCTGCGATTGGTCGAGGTCTTTCAGTCCACTGAGCTCGCAGTTTCTGATCGAGTTCGCGTCGTTGTAGTCAATATCGCAACTGCCATGGAAGTTTTCGTTGCTGTATGAGACGGCCGGGTACCATTTGCTTCCTGCATCGCAGTTACTGCCCGCAGTACCTGTACCGGAAGTGGCAGCCATGTGGTTGACGACTAAGTCGACGTAAATTCTAAATGAATGAAAATTAATGTAGAAATATTTTGCACAATTAGTTGTAAGTGGAAATGTTCCGCATTAATATTCATGTTCATAAATACAGGGTGTTTTCTAATGAAATGTCAATAATTAAAGGGGCGATTTTTGAGTACATTTTAAACAGGAAAACTCCATATGAACATATGTCGGAAACTTCTTAAATTTTAATATCCAGGGTGGTTTTAAATAAATTAAATTTTGTTAATATCTGTAATGCCATAGATATACCAAGACGCATTATTTAGTGCACAACAATTTTTTTTAAATGCACCAGTGGTGTGCGTACTGAATTTCACATGTCTATTTTGGTAGACATTTATGCTACACCATTGATTTCTCTTACAATAAAAATTATTCTTACAATCTTCAATCATTTCTAAACAAATTTAATTTCTTGAGTAATTGTCTATTGTCTATACGATGTACGTAAACTCTGTGGTATATTTTCTAAGTCTTTATAGTCATTTCTCATCATTGTGTCTCTAAGAATTGTTAATTCTGTTGCAAAGGCGATTGTTTGACATCAGTTTATAAATTCAGTTCTTCGCGCCTTATTAATTTATTTTTGAATGAATGGTCTAGTTTACTATTGACGAGTTGGCAGATATGCATTTCATGTATGGTTTGGTTGATGACAGTGCGCCGGAAGCTGGGCGATTATATCAAGAGCGCTTTCCTAATAGAGTCATACCAGATAATCGAACATTTTCAATTGTACATAGAATGTTGACTGAAACAGGTACTTTGAGGGCAAATAATTATTTAAAAGGGGCCTATTAGACTTTGAAAATTGCAGAAATTTAAGCAGTTTTAAAGTCTATTGATAAAAATCCTGAACGTACTAGAAAAATGGGAAATAAGCTGAATATCTCGCGAGCCTTGGTTTAGAAATTATTGCCGATGGTCTGTTGTACTCATATCACATTTAACGAGTCCAAGCGTTGTTTCAAAGAGATTTTTATATTATTTCGTATTAATTTTGGTAAATGGTTTTTGGACAGAACTGCGCATTATCCCTTGTTTGTCCAAGAAATACTATTTACAGATGAAGCTAGCTTTTCCAGAAATGCTGTCAGAAATGTTCACAATAACCATAGTTGGGCCGATGAAAACCCCCAGAGTGCTCGGCAATATAAGGAAGCGTTTATCCTTCAAGGTGGAGCCATACTTTCTAAAAACTAGATATATTTTTTAGATAGGTATTTTATTTTTCACAAAAAAGTTCTCGATTTAAACAATGTAGTGGCGACCTAATTAACCGAAACATTTATGTGAGTCATTTGTTGCTCCACATTTCAACTGCTGTAATGTGATTTATGTCTTTTTTTATCGATGGTAAGTCTAGACGCCGTGCTCAGATGTCGCAGAATGCTTGTGTACGTTTTATTATGAAATTTGACCGCATATCATCAGCTTATTTTTTCTTAAAATGGAACCATTTCAACCAGTTCAACATATTCGTTAAGAAAATTTTACATAATCTTGATTCATCGACTACACTAGGAGAGCGAATTATTCCTATAAGTACCATCGATCCTGCAAATGTAATGTAAAGCAAAGCAACAATCTAACGGCGCCACATCATCAGAGTGCGCGATTCGTTTCTACAATTTTATGTCACGTGAATTTACTTAAATTTAAATGCATTTAAAAAATGTCCAAAGATCATTTGCTAAAAATACATTTCTCCTAAATTGACTTTCTATCTGAGTATCATATCGCTTTTGCAAATTCTTTATCTCAATTACTTTGCTGGTGAGTGTTTTTCTTTTCCTTTTTGCTTCTGATTGTGTTTTCCATAGTTTCAGTATTAATTTTTTTTTCGCAATGCTGTGTTAATTTTACGCATAATGAAAGCGAAGCTTCACAATGAAAAAATTGATGCTTTTTAAATAAAGGCTTATTTATTTCTCATTGTTCTGTTGCAACAAGTAAGAAATAGTTATTAATTTTTTTTTGCTTAATATATCTGGCATTATTTGACTTTTTTTGCGTAAGAAATAGTTATCTTTTTTTTTTGCTTAATATATCTGGAATTATTTGACTTTTTTTTGCGTAAGAAATAGTTATCTTTTTTTTTGCTTAATATATCTGGAATTATTTGACTTTTTTTTGCGTAAGAAATAGTTATCTTTTTTTTTTGCTTAATATATCTGGAATTATTTGACTTTTTTTGCGTAAGAAATAGTTATCTTTTTTTTTTTGCTTAATATATCTGGTATTATTTGACTTTTTTTGCCCATTTGGACTTTAATAATAAACAGTCAGTTTTATTCTAATTCCATTGAAGTAAGAATTTATCTTATTTTGGTGTCTTCAAACAACCTCATTCCAATTAAATGAATAAAGTTATTCGATTAGATTACATTTCTGGACACCCTGTATAACTCAAATACATAATTTGGCCTGCTCCTTTATTTCCCAATAAATTTTGCTTACGACGTTGACAATTGACACTATATTGCAGTTTGCAAAAATTGAAATTATTTAAAAACCCTGTTTAAATTTGAAAAAATACGTACATCGATACTTCTTTGCACATCGGTGTTAAAAAGTTCATTTTCTTACAGTGTGCTGCTGTTTTGATTGCATTACCCAAAAGAATGCATAGATTTTATCAGTTCCATATGCCACTCAAAATAAAGAACTACGAAATTGGGTACTGAAATTTGATTTTTATTCAATTGATTCGCAAATCCAAATGCAAATAAACATATCGCAAAAATTAAACTTTTTTAAAAATCTCTTAATTCGGGAAGAATTGCTAATGAAAGGACCTGTATTAAGTAATTACCGTATGCCAACTTGATTACATCGTCGAACCATGTCAGCGAATGCTCCTTCATCCCCAGACCTTGTCGTCAGTGAATAACTGATGGGCTGGTACCTTTCCCACCATGGTCTGTAGGGGTTGTCAATGATGACGTTTTCACTTGGAGGTGATATCTATAATTTAAAAACAAGTTTCTACAGAAAATTTGAATTACAATTAGAACATTATCTTAACAGTTTTGGTTAGTTGCTTGTTACGTGCGTCCACGTTCATTTGATAAAAATGTATAAATATATATTGGATTGATACTTGATAATTTTTTTAAACAAAGAGTTGCCTTATCACGATAAATTTGTTCTGTGATAATGTTGCCATATTAAACCATTGAAATAATATTTAAATTTAAACTTGTTTAATTATCATCCACTTTCATTAATTCCTCCAAAAAATCAAAGCCTATTTCAAAGATAATAGGTCAGCCATTTATATTTTCTCTCATATGGCTTTTTAAATAATATTATTTTAATTTTTATTAATAATATTAATTTGTGAGTATTAAAGCACCAGGCTCTTGAAACTACGAAGAGAAAGTATATTGGTAAGTGCATTTTCCGAAGGGAAGGAGAATAGAAAAATAAAGGAGAAGAGTTAAAAGAAAACGATTCTGCTGCTAACTTATTTTCTTAAATAGCCTAATTAGTTTATGCTAATTGCTAAGTTTATGCTAAACTTGTATTGGCTATGGTGTTTCAAGCAAAACATAGCAATTTTTACTTAGAATTTAACAATTAAAATACCATTTTTTTAACACGGCTTTTTTTTTATAGATTTTATTAATAGAACATCCTGTCAAATGAATTAAAATTTCAATATGTAGATTTTGGATGATGTAACAAAGTTCTCTTCCATTTAAAGTTCGTCCAATATTGGTTCTTGGCATTAGTTAGTTTTGAACGATTCTTATAACCACTATTTTGTTCGAACTCCCTATTTATTTGTGCTGTATAACTTTTTTGCTTTTTCTTTTCCAACTCAATTAGTTAATTAGTCCTTAATGTCTTTAAAAGTGTATTTTTCTCATAATGCTGGTCGTAGCACAAATTAATTGCCGCGTCTGCATTCTTCTCGTCTTTTATAAAACAACGAATCACATCTCATTCAACAAAATAAAGCAAGTTTTAAGTTTGAGTTTTCCTTTTAATCATATCCGATTTTGATCCACCCCGTATCCACAGATCTTTAATCTCGAATCAGTGCAAATCATTCGAAAGGCATATCGATTATTATACACAAAATTCGTCTACGCCTTGCGAATTTGGAACAAATGTTTACTTAACTATCATCACACGTGATTACTTTTATTTGTCAAGGATGTGTTTTGTTTGGAGATAAAACCGACGCAAAAATAACAACGTATGCTTTTATCTCGGGAGTATGGCGCCCTCACACGATTAACGACCGGAATAAAATATAGCATGTAATTTTTCAAGAAAACCTCTACGTAACACTATAATACTTCTGGGCTCTTCCTGGAACTGCTCAGTTAAGATCCCAATAAGCAAACGAAATGTCAGCAAGTTAGATTTATCAATAACAAACAGGAATCCAAACATTGGTAAATAGTTTGCTATTCATACCTGAATGCCTCCGAATCTCTTCTTGCTCAAGAAGTTCTCGCACTCTGCAGCAATGTCTGCCCATTTCCACTCGAACAGGTGGACGATGGTATTTCTTCCGTCGACAAAGTGCGGATCTTTCTGGGCCAACACGGAACTGCTAGCCACAGCTGCAAGGGTTACCAATAAAACAGCTCGCATTTTGGCGTGTTTATCTTAGACGGGACCTAAGTGAAAAAGAAACTGCGTGTGACATTTATATAAGCGAATTACAAGTGTTTGCGGTCGAGATAAAATGAAGTGGAACTCGTTGTTTAGTCAGTCCTGTGAATACTGCAATTCGAACAACGAGTGCAATAGAATTTTTGTATTGCGCAACATTAATTACGAAACTAGAAGGAACTGAAAGCGGTGCTTGCTTCTAGAACTACTGACGTGGGCTGCAGCAATACGGGTAGCAAGAAGTTATAATGAATTCAAAGAATACTTCGACAGGAAGGTTTTAGACCCTCGTTCACCTTTATTACCTTGAGTTGCTAACTCTTCAAGAAATATATCTTTTGGAAAAGTGAAACACAATTAGCTTTACAGACTTTTATGGAATTTACTCTTAACCCAGCATTTTATGAAGTAAAGTAGCTCTCGAAAAGCGTTACTACAGCTTAACCACCTGTCTTGGAGGGAGAGTTTAATATAAGGGCAGCTTTATTTCTAGACTAGAAGAATATTGAAGGCACTTTGCAGACAAGACCAGACCAAATATCCACCATAAGATATGCATAACTTGTTTGGAACTGAAACAATCATAATATACGCACCGAATGATGACGCAACTTAACAAATTAAAGATCAGATACTGGAGCCTCGCACATGAACTGAATAAAATAAAAGTCCACCAAGACATAATAATTGCAGGTGCTTTCAAGGATAGGGTGGGCTCAAGGAAACAAGATGAAGTAGTAGAATAATACGGTGAAAACACGATAAATGGTTGCGGGGACAGTTAATAGAATTTCGCAATCAGTTCAACTCTGAAATATTAAACTCCCATTTTCCACAGAAACACATTCATATATGGAAAAGACCCACTTTAAAACAAAAATCAATTATTGACTACATAATCACAAAACAAAAATCAAAAGCAAAGTCACAAGACTGTAGAGTAAAACGGGGAGCGAATTGTGGATCGGATCATTACTTAGTCCATTTATCCATTTCGAAAAACTGTTAAAAAAATTGAAGACCATAATAATACTGGAAGAAATGTAGGATATAAATTATTTCCTCTACATCAAGGCAGCCTCAAAAATCTATTCAAGAGAAGACTAGAACAAGAACTAAACAACATACCAGTAAAGAATAGTATCGAGAAAGAACACGAGAGTCTAAAACAAGTAATAAGTAAGATGATAGGAGAAGTATTAGGAACAGAAACTAAAAGGAAATAATCAGAAGCCCCGTGGACGACTGTTGAGATAAAGGACAAATTAAAAAATAAAAATGATTCCTATAATAGATGCTCTACAACAAAGTTACCTCAACATAGAGAAAAATATCAAAGCAAAAAAAGAGAACTACGGAGATCAATAAAAATAGAAAACAACAACTTCTGGGAACAAAAGTGCATTCGCATTGAAAATCTGATGGGAGGAGCTCAGTTGACAGAGGCATGGGAAACAGTTACTAACTTAAAAAAACACACAAACGCAGGAATCAACACGCTAATCCCTATGCCAGGATGGAGACAACATTATACCCATCTGTTAGGTGAAAACAGGCCAGAATTCATAACGGTAGAGCCACTGTTAAATAACGAGGAAATTAATAGAAGTCTAACTATAACATCTGAGGAAGTTGCCCTGGAAACATCCCCGTTGAATTGCTGAAAGCAGGAGGGCCTGGTATAAGAGACAGAATAACTCAACTAATGCAAAACTGCTGCCAACAAATTCAAGTTTCTTCGGAGTGGAAGACGGCGTACCTAATATCTATTTTTAAAAAAGGAAACAGAAGAGATCCCAAACGCTATCGCGGCCTAAGTGTAAATACTACAATGAGCCGACTTTTTAGTAAAGTCGTAAATGATAATATAAGGCGGAACATCGGTCACAGAGTCAGCCAAGAGTAAAGTGGATTTACAAAAAACCGATCCTTTACAGACAAGCTATTTATTGTACAACACCTGTACAGATTAAAAATGGACAGACACTTTCACAACCGGTAAATGTCACAAATGTGGCAGCTGCACAAACAGGTTGGAAACCACGATGTAGCGAAATGGGAATCCCGATAGATGATAATGATACTCTATTCACCTTATTTTTCGCTGAGGATCAGGTTGTGATGGCCCAGGACGCGTATGACCTAGAATTCATAATGAAACCAAATACTTGGTAATAAACAGCGATACTCGATTTTAAGTTCTAGTTAATGATGATGTACGTATTAACCAAGTGCAGACATTTACATATCTAGGAACACTTGTGGATAAAAACGGGATAGAAGAAACAGAAAGAAGACACAGAATACAACAAAGTATTTTGGGCGATAAAAATATCCCAAATTAAAGCAAAAAACTAGTGGGGAAAACAATGGTGGAGTCAGTTTTAAATGGATTATATCAGACGAAGCGCAAAAATATCATGATTAGACATAAAAACCAGTGAGGAAGTAACAGCTCGAATAAAAGCAAAAAGAAGTGTGCTGGATCGAATAGAAAGACGATCCTTCAAATGGTTTGGACACTTATTCAGAATGCCTGACGAGAGATGGCCCAAAAGAATATTTCAATGAAGACCACCAGGAAAAAGGAAACGAGGCAGACCACGTAGGTCGTGGAATGAAACGATCAGAAGATTAATGAATGAGCCAAATTTACAGGTAGGGGACGTCTTGGACAGAGAGGTTTGTCAATAGTTTAATACATCTTGTATGGTATTGTAACTATACAAAAACAACGCAAAACATGTATAAAACTTTCGTCTGCCAGATCTAATCAATTAATCAAAAGCCATCAAATCCAGATTCATTGTAATAACCTCAAGTACGAAGTACCCCGAAAAAAAATGTTTTCCTTGTCGAGGGTGTTTGACATTTCGCTAAATCACTCTGTTTTGGAAAACACTTTGGCATTTCCTTTTGCGATACGATATCGAATTTACTTTGATAAAAGGTTTCCATTGCGGAGAGACGAAACGCGTAGAAAGCAAAACAATGTTGCAACGAATCTTCTATTTTACCGTATTTAAAAGAGCATGTGGTGGAAAACTATGCTGGGTAACTAACTACACGAGCTATACTAAACATTAATTTATTATACAGTATGCTCCCTAAAACTCGCAACAGATCAAACTTGTTTATAGAAAAATATTTTAAATGTTTTTTTTAGCAAATATTGATTGCACAATGAAGCAGTTTCGTTAAATTCATATTGCTTCTGGCTTTTTCAGAGGAGTGTATATTCGATGTAGTTATTTGTCAGGCCTGACTGATCTCTGGTGTTCCTTTGGTGTGGTTGAAATTTTTCGACATGCTTCTCCCACGTTTTCTTTGCTACAGCTGCACCTTATACTTTAAACACCTGCTGTCTCGAGAGAAAGTTTATCTTTTATAGATTTTAGATATTTAAGATTTTACTACAAGGGACCATCTAGTTTAAATGTTATGTTTTATATGTTTGTTTTGACATTTTGATATTTTGAACATGCGGATGCGTAATAAGCGACTGAGCTATTGATATAAGCAATGGAGTGAAATAAAATGAAGCGATACTTATCGCTTAGCCCGTCCCATGAATTGGAGCAACCCATGGTACATGGTATAAATAAAGGAGTTTAACCATAAAATTAGAAGAAACTGAAGACAATGCTTTGGAGCTAGAGACGTCAAAATTGCAGTAGTGCGAATGGAAGGAGTTCTTATGAATTCTGAGGACACTTCAGCAAGAAGGCTTTATATTCTTATTCGCCTTCATTAAAAAAATGAGTTGCTAACACTTCAATAAACGAATCTATCCGAAATGTGACACACAACATGGAAAGCGAAAACTGAAGTAAATATTGACATTACGGCTATGTTTCAATTTTTGTACACAAATTAAGACTTGAACAGTATCTGGCCTTTCCAGATATGTGCATTGTTGATCAGACCTTTTACCCTGCAGTTGGACCTTCTAAAATTTGCATTATTAACGAGTTATGTATATTGGGCATAACAACAAACGTATTTTTTGAAATTAGATTAGAACTAAGATCTTGTAGCTTATCATAGTTGGAATAAAAATAATATACAGCAAAATTTAATACAGTGTAATTGGATTACGATTATTCTAATCTAATTTAAATCTTAGCATCTACGTGGATGGCCATAGCAGCATCATCTTCTTCGAACCGCAAGTAAACTTGAACCAGTCCGTTTTCGTCGACATTGACAGATTTCCCAGTACACGTGCCATTCTTCAAATGACCGGAAACGACGTCACAGTAAGTTCCGGCAGAGAGATTGGTCAGAATGCTTTGGTTAATGTCGCCTGAGATGGTGAACGCCACGAATCCTTTGTTTCCTCTGCTGAAAGCGATCTGATTGTCTCCGTTGTCCCACCAGTCGTTGAGTCCGGTTCCTATTACGACGCTTCTAAATTGTACCATGTTGAAGACTTGGCGCCACCTGTGCTCGCATATCCAGCCGTTGGTGCATGTACCGTCATCGGTGAATGCAGGCGAGATCAGTTCACCGTTGTTGTTTGGCGGGCCTAGAAATCGATCATTATTTGTTTATTTATAGGAATTTACAGCTTCCATGCAAGGTTATGCTAATTGAACACTTATTTCTTCACTTTTCTTGACGATCGCGATCTTTGTACTCTCCATAAGGAGATACGGGAACTCAGAAATACACATTGACTAGAAAGCTGACACAATAAAGAAGTATAAAGTATATAGCCTTTCGGTCTGATCAACCATCTTTTTTTTTTGTTATCACGTGAGATGTGCGATCAGGTTCCAGAAAAGCAAAAGTCATAGGAAAATACGTGCCTGAACTCTGAACCTGATTGTCACGAGACGGAAATTCAGAAATAGATCAGAGAGGGCTAAGAATAAAGATCAACTTTGCAGCCCATCAAGAACATTCAGTAAACTTAGAGCCCTCATCAACCAGGTTAGAGACCTTAAAAAGGAGATCCAAACTTGAGTCTACAGCTTATTACACATATATTACGTTCTTACAGCTTCCCAGTCCTGACGTATGAAAAGTTTATGACATTGAATATATTTGATAAAAGCTCCAGTCATGGTTTTTGTTTTCAATGCAAATGTCAATTTTGTAAAAAAGCACATATAGCACCATGAATCACTCAGCAACCCTATTGGGTATAATTTTAGTGCCGGAAAATGAAAAAATATTAGAGGCGGGAACAATTTGTGCAGCTAATGTTAGTGACCACGGTCTAATTTACATCAAATTTTGTTCAGTTTGATGCTGATCCAAGATAAATTCCGTTGCGGAATGTCTTTGACATTGAAGGTGCTGACAAAAAGGTTGAATTTGTTTCTACTAATAATATTGACATTCTTGCTCCGCAAAAAACTTATAGAATAACAAAAAAATACGCACCGTGGTTAACTTATGTTTTATGATGAATGTTGGGGACAAACTGCTAACTAAATATTAACGTACCAAAATTGTGGCCGATTTTCAAAATTATCAAAGATTTTAAAATATTAGCATTAAGTAACTCTAAGAAAATTAGATCTGTTAACTTCTAACAAGTAGGTTATTTCACCTCAACTCAGTAATGTAGATGTTATTAATGATTACTTTGTTAACTCTATTCCAAAGGTCGTGAAACACAAGAGTTCTATGAAAATAATGTAATACCAGATACTATGGAAAATCTTTTAAAATTTCAACGTGTAAATGAACTTGAAAAAAATTGTTAATAATATTAAAACGAAACCTGCCATTAAGTTTTTTCTAATCCTACTACAATTGAGGATCTTCGGTCCTGGGACAACGCCAAGTTGACTGTGCTGATATTGTTAGATTATTCTAAAGCATTTAATACAATCAATTATCGGGTTTAAACTACATGTGCACCAAAGCTTATTACAATGATCTTATCAAACGTGTGCAGGCGGTAGTTTTTGGTGGCAGAATATCAGGTGCCTTAGAAATATTTTCTGGAGTCTCTTACGGTTCTATTTTGGGACCTTTGCTGTTCTTCATTAATGTATCGCAATTTTCAAAAGTCTTTTTATCGTGTTTGCATCAATTTTGTGCGGATAATACTCAGATCTTTCCCTCATTTCTCATTGGCGAATCAACCAGGCTAGTTCTGCTTTAAACCACGACCATTTTAAGCTCAGAATATTTTCTGAAAATCATGGTCTCAAGCACGACGCTGACAAGACTACAGCAATAGTTTTTGGTAGAAAAATAGACAGTATACAATTTTTACAAACCTATTATAAAGTATTATTTATAGAAGGTAAACCAACACACTTTAAAGATCAAATAAAAATATAGAGTTGTTCATTGATTCAGAACTGAGATTTACGCCACATGTTAATAACTGTCTAAAAAAAGCCTACATGAATTTGCAATTAGTTTTTGCAATATAGACATAGTTTCTGTAGACTCCTCAAATCGTTACTATGTGGTTTACAATTTGTAATGTTAGGAGCAATACAGAAGGTTTGTAAATAGTATATGTATATGTGTTGTAATAATCTCTGCTTAACAGCCCATGATAAGTACAGAATACAAAAGCAACAAAATTCTTGTCTAAGCTTGATATACGGCATTCGCAACATGTTAGTCACCCTATAGCTCAAAACAATGGGTTAAATATGCAAAATATCTTTTTAATAGAATTGCATTAAAGACCCCACAGTATCTATATAACAGAATTAGCTGTCCTTAGGCATCCAACTCACTCAATGAAAACTTTGAACCACTCTCATTCTTATTGCGTGACAAAATATTTAGTAACCTATCAAATGAATTTAAAATAGCCAATTGCAATAGCCATTCTGTGAATGCTCTAAAGTGCACATTCAAGATTGTCACATGAGATAACTATATTACAGAATTAGCTTTTGGACTGTCGTACATACATAATATCAATGGCTTAAAGATGTCCTTACGCTTCCTCACTCAATGGAAATTTTAAAACCCTTTTATTTTTATTGCGTGACAAAAGCATTTAATAATCTACCAAACGAATTAAAAATATGAAGAGCTGTACAAAACCATGTTATCAAAACAATAATTCTCTAATTTGAGCTGTTGGTGTTCGACTTAATATATAACATCTGTCCGTATGTTCCATATCTCTTGTCGTGTCAATATTTTCTATTATTTTTTTTAACTTTTTTGTTAGTAAATTATGTGAATGCTTTAAAACGCAAATTTGAAATTGCCGCATGATATGTTTAATTCATTTCCCTGCATATTTCTTATTGTCGGATTATAGCTTTAGCGTTAGTGCAGTCAGCATTCCTGCAATGTTGAACTGAACTACACTTGTATGGCTAAATTTCTTATAAAATGTATATTTGCTTAATTCAAGGACTCACCGTCGTCGTTATTCTCAAATGCAAAGCTGGACATGACCTGCGTGGTGGCGTCATAAGGATGGGCCAACATAAACGCTGTAGCTGCCTTGTAAATCTTCCCATCCTTGTAATTGAGAATGTTGCTATCGCCGCTTCTCTGAGTATCGTGATTATCGATCATGACCAGAGCGTTGGAACCGTTGATTAAACCCCATCCGGTGCCCCAGTTTCTCAGCCAGTGCAACGGGTTATTTCCCTTAAAAGCCCTACCTAGCTCAGCGCCATGTTTGAATTCGATCACCCGACCGGTGTCTACGTATTCGCTGGCACGGACGGGGTCGAGACCCAAATCGATCACCTCTTGGTAATAATAGGCTCTGGCACCGTCGCCGAAGAACTCGGAGTTCAAGTTGTCGACGCTGTTGAAGATGGCCTCCAAATCCTCCGGCCACATGTGTTTCGCGGCGTCAACCCTGAAACCGGCCACTCCCAGAGCGATCAAGTGGTTCATGTAGTCCCTGATCTTTCCTCTGACGTATTCATGCGATTGGTCGAGATCTTTCAACCCTACGAGTTCGCAGTTTCTTATGGAAGTAGAGTCGTTGAAGTTAATGGCGCAACTGGGGTGGAAGTTTTCGTTGCTATACGAAACGGCCGGATACCGTTTGCTTCCAGAATCGCAACTACTGCCTGCAGTACCTGTCCCAGAAGCGGCAGCCATGTGGTTGATTATCAGGTCGATATAAATCCTAAGCGCGTTAAACACCTTTCTTCCCATCTTATACAGAGCGTTTGAAAATTTATTCTAGTTTGATAACAACTTGATTAATTTGTTTAGGCTGTCAGTCTTGTCTCATTCTGCTATAGTGGTATTATTTTATGTAATTAATAAAATTTGGATCGATGTTGTTGTGGTGTTTTGGCTTTTTTTCAGTTTTATGTTGTATTTAATTGATTTTGATTAATTAGTTATGGTTAGTCTGGATAGTATAGAATAAGAGACACAACAAAACCACACCAAATTGACAATTTCAACAAATTAGGAAATCGGACGGTCCTATAAATAAAAAATGCAACATTTTTTAAGTTAGCTTTGAGACATCCTGATACCTTTCCTGATACCATTCCTTATGTGGTGTTACATTTAAATGAGTCAAGTTATAGCCACCTAAAAGATGGAATGTGTTGTATAATTGGAGTGTAAAGTAAGGTATATTCCAAATTTCACTTATTTAATTTAGATGCCCCTTTCGAAATTATTACGTTACATGTTGACTAAATTCAAATTATTTAAAAAACCTGAAGGTGTGGATATTTGATCTAACCAAATTAACCTAAAATTAACTTTGATGCATTTGGCACTTTTTGTAGCAACAAGCAACCATATATCCCATAATTAAAACTTTGGTTTCTTGTATTTTGGCCTCCATATTCCGTATAGCGTTGACTTGCTCTTTCTCTGATATTGAGTTTGAACCATACTTGCGTGTTCAGAATATAATGGTTTAGCACTAGTAGTATAAGGAACATAATGTAAATTCATGAACATCACTGGCCAAGAGAATAAGGCAAATTCAAGAAAAAACATATAATTAGGTATTTGAAAGTCGTTAACAATCTCAAGAAATTTCTAAAAAATTATATACGTAATGAGATATTTCCGTTAGCAGATATTTCTTTTATGTGCCAATTCCTACTTTTCGTAGCTGCTTCGGAAATTAGTCTTGAGAGAAATCTAACCATTTTAGAGCACTCTATTTACACGTCTTCCTCCTTACTTACTGAGGTTTCCTCAATCAACATGTTGGCTGGAATGTTTGAGGAGGGTAGAGCTACAGGTAATCCTATGTAGTAACAATCGGATGTATTCATGACTATCTTGGCATTTCTTTTATCTGTTTTTAAAATTACTATGTCGGAAGCAGTACACAAACTTTTCTAACAGGTTGCCTTCTTCCTTCAAACTTAACGATCATGTTAAAAATTTGTCTAAGTATACTTATTTGAGCGTCCACTTCCTGTACTCTCTTTAGAAGGATGGCAACGAATTCAAGTACAAATATATAAATGAACTCCGTCGATGCTTCGCAGTATGGAAAACATCTCGTAGAGCAAATTCAAAGAAACATTTATGAAAGAGTGACTCGAGACAGCGGTTTGACAGCGAATGCGAGGAAAAATAAAGGAAAGAGAGAAATGGAGGCAGACCAGCCTACAACATAACACTGAAGAGAACAACAGAAAGTATCAAGAACACAGAAAGGAAATCAGGCAAAGAAGAAGTAAAAACAAAAATATTTCAAACTGTTGACCGGCCAGTGGACTTACCAAGCCTGGAAGAGGTGACAGCGGCTGTAGCAAAATTGAAAAATGGAAAAGCCCCAGGCAGTGATAGTATCCCATCGGAACTAATAAAATACGGAGGAGAAATATTACACAACAATCTACACCAATTGATTTCGGATATATTTGAAACGGAAAACATACCTGAGCAGTGGAAAGAAAGCATAATTGTCCCCATTCATAAGAAGGGAAATAAAATGGTCTGGAATAATTATAGGGGTATATCGCTTATTAACACCTCATACAAAATAATAGCAAATATCTTTTTACATAGCCTGACACCATATGCAGAAAATATAATAGGAGAATATCAATGTGGTTTTAGACCCAATAGATCAACCACAGATCAAATTTTCTCCATACGGATAATGCTAGAAAAGTGCTGGGAATTTAACAAAGGAATTCATCATCTATTTATAGACTTTAGACAGGCATATGACAGGGTGAAGAGAACCGCTTTGTGGGAAGCCATCTCAGAACTCTCCATCGCCCTAGAAAAAGTCATTAGAGATGCAAAGGTGAACCTAGAAATTTTTTCACCAAATGGACCACACTTGCTTCTGGCATACGCTGACGATATCGATATCATAGAAAGATCGGTCTGTCGAGTGAAAGAAATGTTTGTAAAAATAGAAAAGAACGCCAGCAAAATGGGCCTTAGAATAAATGAAGAAAAAACAAAATATATGTGTGTCAGCAGACAGGTAAACAGAGACCGTGTACTACAAAATGTCTCAATGGGAGACTACAATTTCGAAAGAGTGACTAGTTTCAATTATTTAGGAGTCACGATAACAGAGGACAACAGCATAACAGAAGAATTAAAAAGCCGAATCCAGAGCGTAAACCGATGTCTATTTGCTCTTTCTGGAGTCCTTAAATCTAAAGTGGTATCGCTAAAGTCCAAAATTAAAATCTATAAAACCATACTAATATTTGAGTGAGAAAGCTGGACAATGACGAAGCAAAACGAGAGAAAACTGAGGTGTTTTGAAAGAAAAATCCTAAGAATAATCTTTGGCCCTGTAAAAGATACTGAAATGGGAAACTACAGACGAAGAAACAACAATGAACTGAGAAACACATATCAGGAAGCGGATATTGTCGAGGAGACTAAATCCAGACGACTAAGATGGCTTGGACACATAGAACATAGTCCAGAAAACAGAATTACAAAGCTAGTCTCGGGACAATGGGATACACGTACCAAACCCCAAATGACAGAAGACCGTCAGGAATGGAGGTGAAAGACAGCTTCAGCTTATCTTTTTAGTCTTCAAAACATTACCAAACTTTACCATTAAAATTTATATAAAGGAAAACTAACTTCTTTTAATCAACTAATTAAACTTTTAGATAGACGGAAGTAAAGTTTATTTTTAATACCATTAATTTTTGATACCTTATGCCCGCTTGGTTACACCTTCGGATCATGTTTGCGAATGCTTTTTCATCCCCAGATCTGGTCTTCAGTATGTAACTGACGGGCTGGTACCTTTCCCACCAGGGTCTGTTTGGACTTCTAATGATGACGTTTTCGTTCGGTGGCGATACCTACCAATTCGTTCGGGCTCTATCAATTTCCATTTCTCCTGTGTGCGATACTATTGGTGCTTTTTATGTATTTAATGTACCGATCTATTTAAATAATTAAATTTTTGAAACTGTAACTAAAAAAGTGACATTTGGATCGAAAATGGGAAGACAGTATAACAGAAAAGTCTCGGGATATCTAAATTATAATATATATCTGATCAAAAATACAATTGGTGTCTATTATTATTGAAGATAAACTTGCAATGACAAATTAGACGGCTAATTATTGCAACGATTGTCTACACAATAATAATATGTTTGCTCTTGTAATATCTTATCTATCACTTCAATGTTGTAACAACTTGCTTATTTTTGAAAAACACAAACTACGCTGCAGAAAAAAGGCAAAAGATATTAGCAAATTTAATTCTTAAATAATTTTTGTGCTATGCTATGCTCTCTCAAAATGAATAAAAGAAATCAAAATGCAAGCCACATTTCACAATGAATATAGGAACTTGGGAATTTGTTTCTCTTTTTGTTCGTATATGCAGGGTGGTGCTTCAAATTTCCTAGCCTCACCTAGGTAGCTTAATTTAAATATAAAGAGAGATAATGACAAATGAGTCAGGATGTAATCTTTTTTCATTTTTGGCAAAGTGAATTGTTACTTAGTTAATATTAGACCTACGATTAGAATAGGTATATTAAGACATACGAGACGAGCTGGTGGAACCCACCTCAATTGTTGACTGTTTAAGTATATTAATTAATGTTATTAATCATTTTCCCCAAGGTTTTTTAATTCAAAAACAAGTTACGAAACAACAAATTCTAGTCAGTTTGTTATGACTATATGAAAAAAATGTCTTATTTTTTCATATGTTTGAATTTAAATTATTCTAAACTTATTTTCGAAAATTTTTCATATATATAAAATGCACAGGGTGTTTTATAATTGAATGTCAATAAAAATTTTTAATTTTAAAAAGCAAATTTCATATGAACACAACGTCTTAACTTGTGAGATACAGGGTGGTAAAGTTTGCAAAAATAACATATATTTTTTAAATATCTGTAATACCACTTTAGATATTTTAATGAAATTTGCCACATATGTACTATGTATCAAGGGGCATTTAGAATACCACAATTATTTTAAAATACACCAGTAGTAGGCTGTTTTGTTTTCGCTTGTAAAAATAAAAACTTCTTCTCTGCATGGTTATAACAATATCGTTAATACGACAGCATGCAGAGAATTAGTTTTTAGTGAAACCCGTGCTACGGACTAAAAAGAAATTAAGGAATTATATCTGATCAGGAAATGAATGCAAATGTCATTTCGACTTACTTTCTCCGAACAGATAATATTTTGGTTAATTAGGTCGCCAGTGCACTGAATAAATCTAGACCTTTTTTGTGTGAAATATAAAATATCTATCTAAAACAAAATATCTAGTTTTTAATTACCAACTAGTGTCTTGGTGTTCTGTTCTTTTTACTTTTACAGTTTTAATGAAATAACATAACATCCTAACAACAGGCTAAATAATACAAATTCTTATTTTGAAAAAAGGAGTCCCTACTATTAATAATTAAATGAAAATATCTGTTAATAAATTAATAACTACCTTGTTCAAAAAAAGAAGGATAATTTGATAAGTAGATAAGTTTTTGAAAATTTTATCCACTTTGAAGTATCAACGCTTCAGCTCTTTTCCTCATATTGCTGCGCACTCTTGGAAGGATACCCCAGTGTTTCTTATTAACTCACGGGAAGCTCATATACGATTCTTCATCTACATCATCTACAGTGTTAACCGGGGTGCGATAAACCAGACCTTTAAGATGCATGCATAAGGAAAAGTCCAAACTATTTCCTAGTGGACCATGGTTCAGGCCCGTCACGACTACCCATCGGTTACTAAATGTGTTATTTAAATATTCTCCTTTTGAAACACTACTTCTTTTAGAAATATCGGCAAATCACCTTCTAAAAACAGTTTCTGGTAGTAACAACGGTCCTATTAAGTAATTTACAACAATTCCAGCCCAAACAATTTCCGAAAATTGTTCTGGAATTTATATTCCACAACTGCATGGGGGTTTTCATCGGCTCCAATATATTATTGTGGAACTTTCTGATTGCATTTCTGGAAAAGTTAGCTAAATCTATAAATAGTATTTCTTGGTCAAACAAGGAATGATGCGCAATTTTGTCCAAAAACATTGACAAAAATTGACAAACAACCGCCTAGACAACAGAATTAATGATTCTTACAGATACACCTACTAGAATGGTAAGAAATAATTTGAAAAATACACCTCCGATTTTACGTACTTCGTATTGGTACTACAATTTTTGAAGTATTTTAATAAAACATATAGACAATTGCTAAACAAGAAATAATAATAATAATTCACTGCACGCTGTCATATTAACGATATTGTTGTGACTGTGCAAAGATGTTTTTAGGTTAAGTCAAGAAATTAATTTTCTTTAGGAATGTTTGGAAATTGTAATAACAATTTTTATTTTAAGATAAATCAGTGGCGTACCAGTATATAAAAAAAAGAAACACTAAATAATGCCTCTTGATACATAGTTCATGTATGCCATCTTTCATTAAAGCGGTAATACAGATATTAAAAAAATATATTATATTTTTGAAAAGTGTACCATCCTTTTTCCCAAAAGTTAAGACGTTTAGGACATATGTTCATATAAAGTTTTCTTTTTAAAAAGACCCAAAAATCGCAAAATTGCAAAGTTTTTTCTATATTTTCTAGTAACCTTTTTTTCACATTCAAACTCGAAAAGAAAAAATTATCTTCTACCCAAGTGACTATGTAAATGAAAACTTTTCTAAAATAACATTTTGTTAATTGATTATTTCAAATTTAAGTCAGCCCTTGCATTCATATTACTGTTAACATCGATCAAATAGCTAGACAAACCATTTTTAAAGCACAGTAATTGTAGCGAACGTGATCACAATATTATCTATTAGAATTACCGTCAACACAGAAGCCGATATTGAAAAACTGTAAAAAAAGGTATGATGATAGAATGATAGATAATGTTACCTGGATCCCTCCAAATTTCTTTTTGCTTAAGAAGTTCTCGCACTTGGCGGCGATGTCCACCCATTTCCATTCGAACAGGTGGACGATGGTGTTCCTTCCTTCCAGAAAGTGAGGATCTTTTTGCGCCAGCCCTGCTACAGCAAGAACTACCAATAATAACAATCGCATCCTTACTGAGTATTGAATTGTAAAAAATATCACATCGCCATACGCATTGAATTCGCCGGAAAATGGATTTTGCGGTTTTAATTTTGTTTACGTATGCGTACGACAATTCCCACATCCGTTGCATATTGTATTTTAATCCCAATACAGGATATATTCCGTTTGAAAAGTGGACAAATCGCAAATAATAATATCCGTAAATTATCTTACGAGAACTTAACTACCTACATGCAACATCCTAGCTGTAACAATTTCATTATCTTTATCTTTATTCGGAGAATAGGCAAGCACACATTTTTGAAATGCCCAAAAAGCTTCAGAAGACCACAACGTTTTTTTGTGAAAATGGTGAGATGTCGAAAAAAATTAGAACACATGCCTATGAAAAAAGGTCTTGTTTTTTTGTTGACCATTTGTCCCTGGATCACCGGGTATAGTAAATAATCGAACAAAACATCCAGACTCAACTTTCTAGTACATTTTGTAGTCGTGACTATCATAAAAGAATGTATTTTGAATTACTTAATATAATCGATATCTTTTCGCTGACAAACAGTTTTTAAAAACGAGAGTCACAGACTGATAAAAAACACTCTTGTTTATCGTCGAAATCAAAAGTTTTGTCTGAATATTATTTCAAGTTGTGACTAGTTTTCACAAGTGCTCGAAAATAGCAAATAGTTTATTATTCAACATTTAGCCTAACAAAATGAAGAAGTTTAACTTCTAAGATAGCAAAGTAGCAAAGAAACATTTGTGCTCCTGTAAAGTCTTCAGTGCTGAAACGTCCAAAATGGAAACTAGGGTGCAGAATTTCAAAAAAATAGTAGTACAACAAACCAGTTTCCTTAATATAACATAGGTACAGATTTTCAAAACAAATTTTAAATTTTAAGTAATCAAATGATGTTGCAAAAAAATGTAGCAAAGCATATCCTTGGTGCATACAAGATCGCCACTTTTGCAATGGGATTGTTTGGGTAACATTTAAGGCAACGAATATAATAAGAGGTATAAAAGTTACAACTTTTGATGCATAAAGCACTGAAGCTACCAACATTCAATTAACTGAAGTGGATCAAGAAATATTTTATTAGAACTAAATTCCTTGATTTTTCTATTTCTATAAGTAAACAACAGTACTGATTATGAGATCCGCTTAGTTTTATCATAACTGATCTAAAAATGCACGAGATTTTCATTTTGAAAATTACAAATTTGTATGACTAGTTTGTGTAAAATTTTAAATAAATGCACTACACTCAGAAAAAAACATTGTAAATTTTTCAAAAAAAAGCTAAAGATTTGATCAAAATTAAATATGTCTCTGCTTCATTGGTGCTTTTAATAAATCAGTATAAAACTATATGATTATATAACGTCTTCTTGAAACTAATGTGCATGATCCTTCTTACTACTTATTCTTATTAAAACAAAAGTATTGTCTGCATTTGGATTGACAAGGAAACGATTCAAATTATATATATTAATAAAATATTATTTTAAATGCCTAGAATAAAAATTTAAACATGTTATAGATTTAAAACAAAGAAGCCATCATTATAAATAGAAAGGAAAGTCTTTTTTTTGTTAACGCTATCCATAGACTATAAAGTCCTATTTTTTAGTTTAAGACACGTGTAATGTAAGTAATGTAACAGGTTTTCTTAAAAAATCTAATATTTTTATTGGAACTAATTTGCCCCGACTTTGAATTAATAATATCAGTGTTACTTAAGATCGGTTTTGGTTAGTTCTTTCACCCCTTCTTGGTTGCACTATTTTGTAATGCTTACTTTTATACAGTCCTATGATACATATATAACAATTTAAAAAATGAACTACTCTTGAGACCAACAAGAAAACGGTTACAAAAACGGCGGTTACTGGCTAACAACACAACAAATCCCAAAGAAATCTTTCAGAAGTACCAACCGACTGCCCTTCAAATATTAACGTTCAAGTTTGATTAATGTAGTAATCTGATTATTATAAGAGAAAACGTCCTTTTGTAATTTGTTTTGAACATAATTCCAGTTAAAACAATTACGCAATACATGAAGTATTGGAAAAAAGATCGTTGATAATTTAAAGTGACTAAATAATAATTTATATATAAATCAGTATCAAAATGCTTTCCAACATACCTAAAATATTATATTTTGATTAGTAAAATTGTGGAAGAGAGTTGATTTATTGCAATGCGATTTCTTGTGCATTTTAAAACGCAATTGTTTAGGAATGTGAAATCAAAGAATTTCCATTTTCTTAAATAATTTTTAGTCCACCTCGAGTAATTTATTCTTGGTAGCTTCAGGGCATTAGGCATCTATAAACTTCAATTCAATGTATCCTTGGTAAACAAATTCTACTTATATGACCATAAAAATTTTATAATAATAAAATTTCTGGAAAATTGCCAAATATTACACAGATTATTTTTTATGAGGATTTTCTCAATGACTATTAGGTTATTACTGTACTGTAGTATAATTTTATTTGCCTTTATAATAATAATAATAATTCATTAATATTATTATTATTATTATTATTATTATTATTATTATTATTATTATTATTATTATTATTATTATTATTATTATTATTATAACAATGATGGACGGTAGAAAGACAAAGACTCGAGACGGTAACTGGACCGATTACGGTAGACAACGTGATTGACCTGATGACGTCGACAACGGAAAACTGGGACCTTGTGGACAAGTTCATAAGGGAAATACTAGTAAAATAAAAACCGTTTTCTTTAACATTTTTTAATCTCTAATCGTTTTTATGTTGTTAACCAAACTATTAAAACGCCTAATACATTGACAATGTACACCCTTCTCACTCATAGTGAGTTTGTGCCTGGGATATGTGTAATTCATGGTTCTTGTCCTATAAACTTCCTGAGATAAAAAGGTTTTTCAAAATGTAGGAAAATTGCAGTTAAATTTTATTTTGTTAAATTTTCCTCGACATGACTCTCGAAAGTTTAATTGCAATGTAGTTCTAAGGGCCCTCTGTTGGCAAATAAAAATTCTCTGCAATTTCCAAATATAGCGAGACCGTATCTCATGTGTGTCTCAAAATTACTATGATAAAGCATTTTTTCGTATCCCATGGAATGTACCTACCTAACTTATCTGCCACATTATTTATATGATTTTCGGATTATAAGGTGCTATCCAAAGACATACCCAAAAATATTGTACAATCGCTATTCTTGATCCATTTGTTCTAAACATTGTTACAGCAGTCTTAGCATTATTAATAACTAATTTATTTTTAGTAAACCAATTATCCGCTCCCATCATGAACCTCTCAGCCTCCTTTTGGAGGTTTGTGGTATCCTTATTTACAATTAGAACATTGCTATCATCGGTGTAGATAGTGATTTTACAATTTTGACCAATTGCATACAATTTTGTAATGTTGTTAATATAAAACAAAATAATATTGGCCCTATTACACTGCCCTGAGGTATACCTGCTGCAATACTTTTGCTTGCTGATACTGCCCGATTCTCATCATTGTTCATTTTGGAAGGTACGATTCCACACACCTTAAAGCCACTCCTCTTATTACAAACATATCTAGTTTATTCAAAAGTATACTATTTCACCACTTTTTAAGACATCAAGTAAACGTTGAACGAAGGTATATACTGCTGTTTGAATTATCCTGCCTGGTTAGTACCCATGCTGTATATTATGTAGTAAATTATTGTCGCCCATAAAGTTTAATATTCGATAACACATCACTTTTGCAAAAATTTTGGAGAATTATGGTAGCAGCCTTATTGGGCGATAATTTTGCATGTCGTTCTGATAACCTTTTTTAAAGATTGGGATAACCAGGGCATGTTTAAGTTGATTTGCAAATATTCCAAAGCTTAGCGATTTTTTTATCATAAATACCAATGATTTAAGAATCACTGGCAACACAACTTTATGAGATTAGCAGAACTATCATCATACCAGAACTAAACTGGATTTTAACAAGTTTGGTGCAACATTAATTATGAATTCATTAAAATTATTTACTAAAATCTCTTTATTACCTTCACTTTCTATCTCTTTATAACCATGTTTTCCTTCAATTTCATTTACTACCGACCAGGCACATTTGTTTCTGTTATCTGAGTCTTTTTAATCTATTCGCATAATTCTGTTTTTGATATTTTTTGGAAGACATAATAATAGTTCTTTTTTGCTCTGTAAAGCTCCTTATTTCTAGTATTTACTTTTTGCATCACGAAAAGAATATCCAATTTTCTTTTATACTCATTGATTTCAGCGTATTTTATATATTTAGGTTTCTCTAAAGTTTCTAGAAGACACTAGAAAGAGAAAATGTTCATGGAACTTCTCTGAGAAATAATTCATAAAAGTCGACCACTGATTTTTAACCAGGTGTTTATCTGGTGTGTACAGTACTTGCCAATTTATTTCTGGCGATGCTGTTTTAAATTTTATTTTATGGGCTGTATTAAAATTTCTTTTTTTTTACATGGTTAGTTGTCTGTATTTCAGCGTACAATAATAACTTCTGAGCAGTGTGATCTTAAATCAATGTATGTAAAACTTGCTATGTCACGTTGCCATCGACATTTGTTAATATGTTATCAATACGGGTATTAGTTTTGTTAAAAAATCAAAATAAATAAAAACTTAAAGTTCAGATTTTCACGAAATTATATATTTTGACATGACAATTGTTTCGATAACACCGTGTCTTTATCAAATGTATTCAAATCAAACCAAATCAAATACATACAGTTTTTAATGCTTTATGACAGCTGTTTCGGCAACATCGTGCCTTTATCAAATACATATTTGTATATTTTTTGTTCTAATTTAATTTGTGTTGATTTTATTTAGGTAGTATTTATTAAAAGATTTTTGCAAAGTTCGTCATATATTTTTAAGTTTGTATATGATGAATCTTTTTGAATGAAGCTGGTAATAGATGGTACATCAACGATGTATATACTGTATACTATTCTTTTTTACTAAAAATTAACTGAAAAATATTATTGACAAGACAAGACAAGGAATTCTTCAGACTATTATTGCGGTTGTAAATAGTATTACAG